GGATGGCAGTGGAAACTCAACGGAGGAGGCAACAATGTTTGATAAGAAAAATACTCATTATCTTAATCCTGTAACTGTAACCTCTCTGTAAAGTATTTTCACACTAAAAACTTATTTAAAAAAGATGATAAATCAAATAAGATAGGTATACAAGTGCTTATTTTTCCCTTCTTGGTATTGTTTTTAACATATTTTTAATGAACTATTTGATTTTTTTCCCTTTGGTCTGTTCCTCCACATGGTAGAACCCCTGTTTTCAATGTATTTGATTCTAGTGCACTGCATTGTGTATATATTTATCTAATTTGGGGAGGGGAAGGTAAAAAATAAAAAAAACTAGTGCATCCGTTTGCAAAGGGCTAGACTTCTACAATTTTCATAGAACTTCTTCTATTCTCATTTGATAGGGGAGATAAGAAGGTTTATGACTCTCCTGCATGGGCTGGCATTAAAAAAATGATACAGTGATATCAAACTCTCAGGTTGATATTTTTTCTTTAATGAGGAAATAGGGCCAAGACACCCATAAATTCTATGTGGAACTTTAGAAATGCACATAAGTGTTCAATTTTGGCCTATGTTTACTCAAATATGGGTTATTTATATAAAATTTACAAATGCATATATAGGGTGATTGAAAACATATTTGAAAATATCCAAAATGGAGGGTCATCACATGTGTCTTCTTTACAAACAAAATAGCAGAAACTATGAATTTCCTACAGCTCTGAAAGTTATTGTAGCAGTGCTACATGAAGAAGAAAAGTAATTTTCTGCCCACAGTTCAGTGAAGCTTCAAATATTGTGTAATTTTTGATGAAAATAAGAGCAAGTTTGTAATAAATACCTTCAATATAGAAAATAGACACAATGCATCTTCCATTTTATGTTTATAAACATGGCATGAAAAGTCAAGTACTCAAACTGAATTCTAGACCATAAAATACAGCGGTTGTTTTAAGAAAATAATTGAAGAATAACTTCATTTACATTTTTTACATTAGGCAATGGGGAGGAAAACGAAACCACCTCTAATATTTGTGAGGTATGTAAAGTTCTCTGTATGTTATTTTCACAATAAAAAGACAGAAAAAAAGAAATATGGCACACAGAGTTAGACATAATTACCAACACAAAACATTTGCCTTTGTTCTGCTTTGAATAGAGATCTAGAAATATGTCTCTAGAAATAAATTGGATTAGGATTGTCTTACTTTCCATTACATGCTGCAGAGATTTCAGAAGAAATACAAAAATCTCACTATGGTATTTATGCCTACATTCTCTCACATTTTCACATATATTTCCTACAATTTATTATAAAAACAATACTCCAATTTATCCATGAACTAAAGAAATTATGTAATATCAACATGTTCCAGTGAAACATTACCTCTTTGCATTTCACAAGATGGTATGGGAACCTGCATGATCTGATTTTGTGATTTTTATCATAGGGACACTGCAACAACCTCTCAGGATCCACTGATTCCTCTGAAAGAGAACAAATACCTCGGGAAAATCAATATGTTGGAGAACATACAAGTCTTCAATGTTGCTTCCATTATTAACTATACCTTAACTCAGGAATCCTCATTTGGGGCATATAGATTCAAAATATGACAAAGAGTATTACTCTGGAATTCAACTTCTGATGTATTCTCAGTTCCTATTAGTTAGTTCTTAATTTTTATTATGAAAAATATTTATTCTAGTTGAAAAAATATTAATTTGAGTCAAAAGGAGCTCTTAGCATCTTTTATCTTCAGAAAGCAAACATCCATTGAGCGCCCTTGATTTAATTACTTTCTTACATTTCAATCTAGAATGTGCCCATAATTTATATTCTTTTTCACCTTTCAATCTAGAACATCAAAAGTCAAAGTTATAATTATCAAAATGTCTAAAGTTTCAGATTTATATCATGACGAATCCTACTATCCTATTCTCTCAGTTCTTGTCAATATACTTTCTGTGATTCCAAACAAGAAAAAAAAAATAGCATGAACTAGACCATTTAAAATAACTTTCCAAAACAAATGCTTAAACATGTTTACCTTTTTCCATTGTGACAGACAGATATATATAAGCAATTCCTGCGGATAAAAAAAAAAACAATTCTCTGAGAGAAAACAAGACTAAATACTCCAAAACCACATGTCTTACATGTTGTGATTTTTGCCGTTGATACGAAAAACAACTGGGTAGAACCTATTCATCTCTAATACTTTTTTTTGCTAGACACACTTGTATTGAAGTATATTGATAACTGTTTACTTCACAAATTATGGTCACTTATAATAAGCTATAGAAATGTATAACCTTTGAAGTCAAAATTAATTTCATATTTTTCATACATTTTTCTTCAACATACAAAAACAGAGGATAATGCATCATGACAACTTTTAAGCGAATGGGGAAAAGGTTTTCTAAGTTATTGGTGTCTGAATTAACAAATTCCAAATTCCATTTTACAACCATCTAATACCTATTGAAAATAGGCACTTGTCTGAAGGAGGATTTTCCTTTTTCATAGATATATCGTGATTCCTATTCAGATTATAAGATCAGTATGGAGTATTATTCAGGTAACTGATTCTTAGAGAATATATGCATCACAAAGCAAAGGAATAATTGAGACTAGTAAGAGTCAAAGTTTGAGATGGGTGCTGTCATTCAATAGGTAGTAAATTTTAGTAGTACAGTGTCTAGTGGCCATGAAGCAGAGCCAGAAGACATTACACTATGACTAACTCACATAAAAGTGACAGTAATAAAAGTAAATTTTAAATACCCCAAAATGGAAATATGTATTTTCTTAAGTCTAAGGAAGTAAAGAATTTTCATTTTTTTACCAATGAAATAATACTGCCTAGTTGGAGAAAACTATAAGAAATACATTTGGGATGTCAGCGAGAAATGTCTCAGTCACATACAAAAAGATGATTTACATGACTATGTCGTGGAAGTCGGAAAACAAATCTAGGGACTGTTACCTGTCTCCTTCAGTTAACTGGATTCTCGAAACCAGTCAGGATGTCTTCCTCCCCACGTCAGACGATGTCCCACTAGTAGGTTTTCCACAGCAACATCTACTTCTCTATAATGACTTCTCTACATGGGGCCAACGCTATTGTGATGTAGTTCCTTAATCTCACTTCCGTTTTACCAACTGATGGCATTCAGCCATACTTCCGCATATGACAACGCAAGTGCTGACTTCCGGCTTGAACCCGGAAGACAATGTCCCATTTCTTCGTGGTATGAATTGTTGTACTCCAATTCAGTATAATAGAAATGTCTGAGTATTCAGTAGAGCACTAATGTGAACGGATATGTCACAATTTTTATCTTCACACCAACTACTGGTTCTGGGTAAATTGTCCTGCCCACACATCTGTAAACTTACTATGGCTTATATAGCCACAATAAGTCATTCTTTATGTATTATTCTTTCCTTGTTAAGTTTCTTTACAAATCAATATTTTTATTAGGAGACAGTTTCACAAAAAGACTCTTAGAGAAATTAATCACCTTCTGCCAAAAACGTTCCTTAGCCTTCCTTGTAGATAACATGGATCTTTGTACATATTTCTTTTAGTTCACATTTTTGATTAAAATTAATTTAAAGTAACATTGATGTTTTCTCGGATTTCACAAAGCAAATAGTCACAAATATTAAATGAAAACAGCAAGAGAAAAACAAGTTCCCAGATGAATTTCTTCATTTATATACCATATATTTCACTTACAAAAATATTAATGTTACTAAATACTATACAATAAACTATAAAAGCTATACAAAAATCCATGTGAATGTATGGCTTTAGGAATGCCTTTGCATTATTTAATCACCAAAACATAAACTACATGCAAATTTCCTGCATTATAACTTTCAATTACAGAATTAGCAACTCAAGAATCTATTGACAGGTTTATGTAGAACAACATAAATTCAGTTAGATTTTAATAAAATAGGAAGCTATTATGCCAGGTTTTGAAAAGTTGTATTGAAGCGTTTCTGATATATAAAAGGTGGTACAACATATATGATACATATTATGTAGATTTTGTATCATCATTTTTCATAAACACCAAGTCATTTTATTTAAAAATATGCCAAAGAGTTTTTGTTATACCCTAAGGAAGCTTTGAGCATTTTGTATAACGTACTGGCAAGGATCTTCATTAACAAGTAGACAATTGGTGCCAGGGTCTTACAACTCTAATCCTAGATTTGTATTGCAGTCCAAAATACAGGAAAACCCAGTGATTCAACTCCAATTGCTTAACAAACCCAAGAGTGCACTATCCTAAAATAAGTATGTATAGGAACAAACTAGCGTAAATTAAACTATTTGATGATATAATAATGAGGCCAGGATGTTTTTGGTCTATAAATTTGTCTGTTTTGAATAGTTATTTTTTTGTTTTGTTTTGTTTTGTTTTTTTTTGCGTCCGGTCGTGAGGCCTGAACTCTGGGTCTGGGAGCTGTCCCTCAGCTCTTCAGCTCAAGGCTAGCGCTCTACCACTTGAGCCACAGCGCCACTTCCGGCTTTTTTCTTTTTGCTTATGTGGTGCTGAGGAATCGAACCCAGGGGCCTCGAGCATGCAAGGCAAGTGAACTACCAGTGAGCCACCTTCCCAGCCCCATGAATAGCTGTTTAATGATTCTGAGGAACTGAAACTTTTCAGTATTTCTATCGGTAGAAAAATATAAAAAATGATTTAAGATAATTGAAACAAGATCAGACACTGGTGGCTCATGCCTGTAATCCTAGCTATTCAGGAGGCTGAGATCTGAGGATGACGGTTCAAGGCAAACCTGGGCAGGAAAATCCGTGAGAGACTTATCTTCAATAAAGCACTAGAAAACTAGACGTGGCACTGTGGTTCCAGTGGTAGAGTGCTTGCCTTGAGCTGAGGAGCTTCTGTCAATTGAATCAAATTCTAAGACATTATCCCACTTCTTCTTATGCATGAATGAACTCCAATATATTTCAATTGTTTTTAAATTCAGTAAATTTGGTTTCTACATAGAATTCTTCCTGGTATTGGCCAGCACACACCCTGATGCTCATTGGCATGCTTTCTGTTAAGCCAGCAGGGTTTTCTCTGCCTTCCATATGTTCCAGTAGGCTAAAATACACAAGATACTTTTATTGAAAACTTGTATAAGTGCAAGTAATAGAAATAAATTTAGACATGAGGTCTGAAAGAATTAAGCACATTTTACAGATGGAGTAGACTTTGACTGGTTTTCTTGATAGAATTTGCCTAATGATAGTGTACCATTTTTAATTGTCATTATCATTAGGCAAATTCTATGAATGTAACTAGATATATATTGTAATCATATAACTGTGTATATAACTAGATATTATTTCTACTGAAGAAATAGTAAAAACTCACTGAATTTGTTTTCTAGTAATTGACATTCCAGCACTTATGAAAGTTTGCAATTTAAATTAAAACGTTTGGACCAAAAGTGCACACAGCCTTACCAAAAGGGAAAATGAATTAATGAACCATTTCCTTTGTGGCAATACTAGACTCAGAATTACAGGGAGCTATGTGATACATTGTCCCAAACTCGATCCTCAACAATCACCATTTTCTGAGGAAAACATCCATGAACTGATTTATGTTAGAGAAATTATGTTCCCTCTAAAATGGAGACATGCAAATAATTCTCAATGAATATACTGACATTCAGTTTCTTGTGAGGTAGTTTTGTGCCTGGACAATAGTATTGCACATACTCACAAAATATAGTCATTGATAGTTCCTCTACTGATGATACATAGGCTCCTATTTTCCTGCAATGAACCCTTTTGGAAAATGGAGAAATTTACAAGCAAGGATTTGTTTCCTTATCTACATTTATTACTGTATGAAAGGGCAGAAATAGTCTCCTCTATTTTCAGAAATTTTCACTATAATATGCCTTGTGACAGTTTGCTCCTTCCTACATTGATTCCTTGAGACTTTTACAGTCTCTACTATATCCAATATGAATAGAAAATATTGAGATTCACACATAGACTCTCTTCACCAGGATTTCAAGTAAATATTCGTGTTGAATCAATCACAAGAATTGTATTTACATTCAAATGTTTCTGCAAAGAATGCACATAATGTTTTACATCATTCATTACCAAAATTACTGCTGTCTAAATATGTACATCGTCAGATACAACCTGCTTTCAAAACCACCATATATGTTGACCTTCTTCTGAATTCACATTTCTAACCTACATCCTCACTATAGTTCCAACTTTTTTCCAAAGATTAATCCTCATAAAATGTGCTTAAACCATCAGCCTAACTTACATCAGGAATGTTTTTAGTGTATTATTCATTCATGTGCAATACTGTCTGAAAATAAAATGCGTTTTCAGAAAGAAAGATAAATAATACCGGCTTGTATGAACAAGGAAATACCTTCTGGGGAAAACAAATATTAATGATTGCACTATTGTGTAAACTAATTGCTAAAATTTGTATGAATATTTTTATTGTGTTTATGGCATATCAGTATCTGCAAAATGTAAAGTTCTTAGATGGCTTAGCCTCAATCCCAATGTAGAAGATTTTAGATTATAGTAGAAGATTTTAATTTATCTTGGCTCAAGTAAGAAAATTTATCACATCAATTATTCTAAAATTCTCATGAAATCCAGGTGCCAGCTTTTCTACTGAATGAGGTCAGAGGATTGCAGTTCAAAGGCATCCAATGCAGGAAAACACATGTGACTCAATTCCAATAACCTTCTATAACACCCAAAGTTGCACTATGCCTCAAGTAGTGACGGGATCTTCTGCAGTGAGTGCAGGGATACAGTTTAATATCCAAAACCACCAAAAAATTCTCTCAGAAAGAAGCATTTTTGAAATTGCATTCTTGCAACATAATATCATAGCCATATTCCTGTTGCATTCTGAAAGACATAGAATGATAGCTTTCCTTGACTCTCTTTCTCCTTCATATTTCTTGCCATTTGTTTGTGCTGGCATGTTTTCTTAATAATCAATAAACAATTTCAATTTGTTAATTATGCTTTTATTACTATGGGTGTTCAAATGTCAATGTATTGGCACTGATGACGCTCACATCATATGAAGCATAGAGAATATCTGAAAGGGAAATTTGAAATATTAATATAGATGCTTGGATTCAAATTTATTGCTGTTATTACATTGTCGAATTCATTGTTTCATACTACAATCAGTCACACAACGTTTGTGTCCCTTTCGTCAATTTATTTTGAACCAAACCGATTTGAACTCAAAGAATTTCATGACTTCTAGTAGCATCCAGAGTAAATAAAACTTTAGGCCCTATTATGTTTTATTACCGTCATTTGACAATTCTCATAAAAGGAGTCTCTATTGAATGTTTATCACCATTCATTCCTTTGGACCCTAAACTATGTTAAAACTTATTTTGTTTTTCTTGCTCTGAGACATACTACTATAGTACTGTACATTTACCACTGATTTTATTACTACACACAAAATAGAGGAAAGTAAAACAGTATTATAGATAGATAAACAAACAATAGTGAGAAGAAAGATATAATATCCATTTGGAGAATTTTGAAGAATACAGAAAATTACACCAAGGTGCATATTTTCTAATCCTAAGATAATTTTCAGGAAATTTCTTCTATAAAAGAATAGTAAAAGGGTGTTAAACCTGCTGGGTAGTTTGTGCCCTTATTATCTGTTTCAGTTGACACAAGCACAAGTTGATCTGAGAGTTGTGGCATCAGGAATTGAAATTGAGCAATCTTTGCCCTATCACATTAAGAGAGACCTATATCAAGGGAGGCACTCTAAAATGTGACAATTGTTGGTTAAAAACCCAACTAGTGGGGTTGTTTTCTTCCTTCTTATGTAAGGTATCCAGCTGTATTTTACTGACTCCGATTTACTTTAGAAGATACACAAGATATACCGATTTTGCCCACCTTCCTAACACTTTCTGTAGGTTTTCTCTTGGATGTTTCTAGGTTATGCAATAATGAACATATAATACCATTCTATCTCCACTTTCCCATGTCTATTATCGTCGTATTTTCTCAAAAATTCGTGGTATGTGCAACAGCATCAGAATGCTTCTCTTCCTACCAGTTTAGAATACTATAGTATCAAGCAAGCATAAATGCAAATGTTACTGATATTCATGTTATGGTTTTGAACACAAGAAATATTTATATGTCTTCTCTTTTGTGGTTCAGAATCACTACACATGTTTATTAGGAGTTTTGCTTCCAATTAAAACTGAGTTCTAAGTCCAGTTTTAAGGGTTAATTTCCCCAAAGTTTCTTTTTTGTTTGTTTAACAATTTTTATTATGGTATTCTTGTGCAAAATTTCATACCTAAGGAGTTCTGGGAAGATGGCGGAGGAGAAGCTAGAATCTGAACAAGCTCTTGCATTGAAAACAGTTTCAGAGTTCCAGTGAACAGTCCCAAGCCAGAGAATCACACCAAGTGTGCCATCACAGGACAGAGAGTTAGTCAAGAGGGGGGATGCCAAGCAGACACATCTGAGCAGCTGCCGCTGCCGTGGCAGGGTCGCGGCAGCGACCACCGCTGCGGGGGCATACCTGAGACACAGTCCAGGACGAAGGAGCCAGACGCAGCAGATGAGCGGATTCTACTCAACACCAGCAAGAAACAACAAGGAGCGGACAACTTCATCCTGCACTTTGCAGACCAGAGACGACCCAGGTTCCAAGACTCGGCATGAGTAGAAGCCCGACTTCCTCACTCCTTTTCAGGGAGCAGAGGAGGAAAGGCCACCCCTCCCCCTCAGCACCGGTGATCTCCATCTTGGATACCGACAAAGCTCGGAGGAGCGGCTAGCTCCAGCTCAGGCCTTGGAATAAAACGAGTCATTTAGCAGGTCACAAGAACTTAATGGTCAAGTGACCTCACAGACTCATTTCCATCCGGGGAAACGTCACCCAGCTCAGGCGCCAGCAATTGGAGTGGCTCTCCTCACCGGGTAACCAGAGCCAGAGGCTGCCCCTCCCTCTAGCCGCCACCACAATCAATTGAAAAACAGACACCCTGAGAATGGGTCCAGGCTGGGTGCTGTGAGTTTTTTTTCACAAAATAGCCCCAGGGAAAAGCTACTGTTTGTTGAAAGGCCTCAACTCTACCCAGAACCTAGCCCCATCACTGCATCCCCCTCTTGTGTGATTCTCAAAGCTGATCACCCTACCAGTAAACTAACCTGGGAGGGGGATCTCAAAATCTTGGGTAAAGCAGAGCATTTTTCTGCCTGTTCCAACAAACTGACTTAAGAAACCAATCAAGCCACAGGACCTCAACCTGACCAGAGACTCCAAACAGACTCTGGTTACAGACAAAAGGGAGATACAGGACTCTTCCCAGCCCTCCCCACCTCAAAAAAATCAAAGAACTTTTTTTTTTCTTCTTCTTTTCTTTTTTTCTTTTTTTGTTTTGTATTTTTTTCTCGTTATTTATTACCTTATATATATAAAAACATTTTTTTCCTTTTCTAAAAATTTTAATCTTTCATTTTTGCATCTTCTGAAAAAATAATTGTTTTCTAGTACCTTTGTTTTTTCTCATAAATTTTATTTTAGGTTATAACATGAATGTGTGTTTTCCTTTCTTTTCTTGTCTTCTTTCTCTTTTTCTTTCATTCTTAATTATCTTTTTGTTTTTTGTCTAGCTCTACTGAACTTCTGATCTTTTCTTCTCACTTTCCTATACTTTCCAGCTTTTCCTCTTTTGTTCTTCTATATGTGACTTAACTCTTGTCCTGCACATCCTCAGATAAACCCGTAGTTAAGTAGTAGACCCTATCCCCCATTGTGTACACACTTAATCCACAAACTTATTACTCAATTCAAAACCTCTGAGACTTAAATTCATTAATAGCAGTACTACCTCTTTATACCTATATAATATTTTAAGCATTTTTTTAAAGTTTTTCACATCTCCTCTATGTCCCTCCCTTTTTCTCAACATATTCACATTCCTCTCTAAATAGATGGTCTTTTAATCTCTATAATAACATTAATTTTTACGTTTCCATTTTTTTTCTGGTCTCTTTTCATTCCCCTTTCCCTTTCTTCTTTTTCTCTCTCTCTCTACTTGC